GTGGCATCGCAACAACGGGCAGCGGGAACAAAAAGCCTAGGGGATTATGCATTGGGCCATGTTGGACCGTGTCTGCCGACCCTTTGCAGCTGTAGGGAAAACAGGGAAAGAGGAGGGGAAGGGAGGTGTCGCCACTGCCCACCGAGTTCCCATGTCCGGCCCCACCGGCCCGTCAACTCCAGCATGATTTACTTGACTCTTTCTCCCTAAACTGCATAATTTTTGCTGCAATAAAATACTGAATCTGCCATTACAAGCTATTTTCGTGACCTCTTTGGGTTTTAGCTTCAGTCCATACAAATTATTTCCTCTTGTTTTATTTGAGAACATGTTTTAAGCCTAAAAGTGGTCTATATGAGGTAAATTATTATAATGACTACTAAAAGTATCTGAAAATATTGATACGCAGTGTGAGCTTATGAGCTGCCAGAAGTTCATTCTTGCTGCATTCAATAACCACAATCACCGTCACTCTCAGAGAGAAATGATATTACTAACCAATAATCCAGGCTTGTTAAATTAAAAAGCAAGTTGCTAGGGGTAACTTTCTTTAGTTTTCACCACTGCATTAAATTAAGGATAGCTTTATGCTTTGAAAAGCTCACAGGAAAGTGATATAAAAATTACTTAAAGTTTGGGCAGGAAATCACCTATTACAATGCTCTGAACCACATTGCATTGTTTTTGACTTCTGCAGAAAAGCTTTGCATCTATGTCTTACTCATGTTGACACTTTTTTTCTCCCATGTTGATGAGTTTACTGATACTGATGTCACGTAAATGGTTAGGATCCAGCAAAGTAGCTGTGGCTCTTTAAGGCTAAAAGCCTGAAATACAAGTTTACAATAGGTTCAAAGGCAATCAAAGAAACAGCGTGATGACTCATATGCTTATGAGCTGCATTTCTACTCCCCTAATTCCTCTTTGCTCCATGAGTGAGAGGAATAAAAAGGCCAGCTGACAGAGTCAAGGTCCAGCCCCATCCTTCAGGGTGCTTCTGTCTAGGAACTATTATTTTTTAGCCTATAGATACAGGGGCTGAGTGCAGCTCAAAGGCACTCATCAGGCTTCTGGAGGCTACTTGGGTCAGGGACAGAAATTTGGTTTAGTGCCGCTGAAAACCAAGGTAGGAGCAACCAACAGAGGATCCCAAACTAGCCCCTTGGTTACACAAGTCAGACCATACTCCTTTATACCAACTGCTTCCTACCTCTCCCCTCACTAGAGGCAAGGATTGGGGTGCGAGTGCACAACCATGGAGCTCCTTTTGAACAGCTCTGCCCATTTCCCAACCACTTCTGCTGCATCTCAGTCTACCCAACCAGCTGGAGCAGCGACTCTGTAGCTCTGTTGCTCAGTTCCAACTTTGCTGACAGCTAGGGAGTGGTTCTTTTCGCAAGATCTCCCAAATCACCATCTGCCAGTGGAGAGTGGGCTTGCAGTACCAGCCGCCCTTATAAAAAGCAAATAGCACTCTCTTGTTCATGTCTACCTGCTTTTTGAAATGTTATTGTAATGACTAATAAATGTTGAGACAGCACCACGGAAAATGAAGTGTTTACCTTTGTAATTTCTGAGGATTTAAAATAAAGCAATGCAATTACTCCTGAAAGAATATTTTTCATGAAAAAAGCATATTTGTTTTATAAGGATATTCTTGTTTAAGCTTTGAGCATTGCTTTGATTATTGTAGTGCTTTATATACAGATAGAAACTGTCTTTCTTGACCACAGCAGGGATGTCAGTTATATGTCTTTTGGCAAAAGCTTTCATATTTTATATTTTGCGTTTGAGAAAACCTCTGCCTTTGCAACAAGACATAGACAATGGCCACTTGGGCCTCATCCATTCTATTTTGCTTGTCAGGATGAGTTCAGCTCTCAGGGTGTCCTTTTCCTGTTTTCTCTTTCCTTTCCCTTTAAAAAATATTTTTAATTTAATCTAAAAGTACCATATAAGATTATAATATAAATAGCACTTTATATTTTCAGAGATAAAGGACACCAATTTATTTCCATTGTAATTTTGTTGGGAGTTTTAACAGATGTGTACTTCAGATATGTTTTTCCCTTTTCAAGATCAGTATTGAAAATCTGAATGATTTCAGAGGAACTGTGAAAAGAGTCTTTTATTTTACCCTCATATATCTATGACATATCTGGGGAATTTTTGTTACTACCATTTCACAGATAGACAATATACTGGCATATAAAAAGTTCAGATGGGCTCTAAGTACTTATTTACATTAGGAGTGAGGTGTAAAAACAGTGGCTACAGCCCTCCCCTGGCCATGCAGCAGGGTGGAAGGGAAAGGCAGCTGCACAGCTGAGATTTCAACAAGTGAACCAGGCAGTGTTAGTGGACAAGTTGCAAACCCTTTCCCCAATTTTCCTTCTCATAAAT